TGTGTCTGTTTTACTCACGGCAGTATCTCCAGTGCCTGAGATAGTGCCTGGCACATAGTAAATGCTCAAGACATACACGTAAAGGGGTGGATCATTTCCCCAGAAATGCCCTCGACTGGAACTGGGAAACCTCCCATTTCTCTGCCCACAGAGGCTGCGTGTCCCTCCCCAGGGGGTTCTGCGCTGCTTACCGTATTTTTTATTGAAAAGCTCCTGGACCTGCTCCCTTAGCGTGTGGGCGATGTAGATCCGTGAGAGCCTCGCGTCGTAATTTTCTGCAAAGCGCAAAACGATTATGGGTTTGGGCTGTTCAGTGAAAAGGCATTTGGTGACTTTTAAGGAAGATGATTTTCTAATTATGGGGAACTCCTTCTCTGACAGTTAACGGATCTTTGGAGTGGGCCCCTCAGGTCCTTCAGCACCAATGTCTTGATGGAGATGTGTGTTTTCCAGAAGGACATGCACTGTTACCACAACAGTGATGACTTGGAAATTAAGTTAATTGTTGACATTTGAAAACCACCAAACCAATAAATAAGCCCCGGAGGGGAGGGACACCATGGAGTGCGGAGTCCTGTGCCCCGGGCTGGCGAGCAGGGGGTGGGGGCTTCATGAAGTCACTGGGGGGCTGGAGACAAGGAAGGGAACGGAAGCCCAGCTGATCCAGCAGACGGTGGAGGACGGGCAGTCCCCACAGACACAGCAGACGGGCCTGGCAGCTCCCAATGCAACCTCCACCTCCCAGGCTCAAGTGATTCTCCTGCCTCAGCCTCCTGAGTAGCTGGGACCACAGCCATGTGCCACTGCGCCTGGCTAATTTATTCTTTGTGTTTTTGGTAGAGATAGGGTTTCGCCATGTTGCCCAGGCTGGCAGCAAACCCCTGAGCTGAAGTGATCCACCTGCCTCAGCTGGGATTACAGGCATAAGCCACCGAGCCACCCTCACCCATTAAAAACCCCCAAGTGTGGTCAGGCGCGACGGCTCATGCCTGTAATGGCAGCACTTTGGGAGGCCGAGGCGGGAGGATCACCTGAGGGCAGGAGTTGGAGACCAGCTGGGCCAACATGGTGAAACCCCATCTCTACTAAAACTACAAAAATTAGCCGGGCATGGTGGTACATACCTGTAATCCCAGCTACTCGGGAGGGTGAGGCAAGGTAATCCCTTGAACCTGG